GGTAAGGGAGGGGGAAGGAGAGAAAGATAGCACAGTGCAAGACGGATCTGTCAACTCCTGCTCTCAAGCCAGCGTCTCCCGCAGCCTGCTTCCAGCCTCTGGCCAGCTGGAGGCTAGTCCCTCCCCCTCCCTCCTCTCTCCACCTTCTCTCCACCTCTCCGGCCCTCAGCTGTCTTCACCATCTGAGCAGAAAGCCACATCAAAACCCCATTCCAGGTGTGGCAGTGGCTTCCTGGCACTCTGTTAAGGACTCTGAAGCATCGCCCAGGCCAAGCCAGAAAGAAAGCTGTGATGAGTGAATGGTATCAGCACTATGAGGAGGGTGGCCTCCTGCACACTGCTAACTAAGGGTCCACATTACGGCGAATCGGTGAGCAGGTGTCCAGCAGAGCGCTCCAGGAAAGAGGTATATCAGCGAGGAGGAACACAGGGTTTAGGATTGAATCTGTCATATCTCTTCATCTGTGTTCAGAAAACATACTGGCCCTGGCCCCCCCTCCCACACCCATGGGCCCAGGCCTTGGCATCTCGTATTGGCACTGGGGTACTCTGCTGCTTAGCTGGGAGATGCCAAGCGTTGTGAGAAAATGCCGCGTCACTTGGGATACCAGGTTCCCTGCCCCAGCCCTGGATTGTGCCATGCACCCGGCAGAGGTCCAGCAGCTGTACTGGTGAACATGAGGATGGTGAAGATGTCAGGAGAGGGCACCACTGACACGGTTAGTTTAGGTTTCAGAAAGGGGCCATTCACTCCAGAGAATAAAAACATGCATTTTTAGCCCAGGAGAGTTTCCTTAAGTAGTTGGTATGATCCTATAATGAATAAAGTACAGCCTCTGGGTAAGTTTCATTGAAAACTGATCAAGAAAATTGCAGGCCTTTTTCCTGTCCCCAAACTGATCTAACTCTTTCCTCTTTACCACTGTGAGGCTCTGGACGGCTTCCAAGGGGCTTTTACAACCATTATCTCACAATGGCCTTCATTTTAAAACAGCCTTGTTTCAAATCTGGGATGTGTAGGAATGGCATTTGCAGAGTCTAAATCCATGGGTCTAGACTCCTTTATGACTGGTTCTAAATCTGTTCTTCAGAAATAAGTGAGTCCACATTAGTTACCTGCAGTTGTTTTACCAGCTGCTTAAAATCCCCCACTGCTCTCTCTGGTCCTCCAGGTAAATCCTGCACCCCATAAGACAGTGTCTGTGGCCTACATGAAGCTGACTCCTCTCTGCCCTCAGGACGGCTTTCCCCCACTGCCCCAGCCAGAACCACCTCACCTGGGACCCCAGATCACGGGGCCTTTGCCTCTACAGATAACAGCAGACACTCAGTGTGTGCTTTTTGAAGAAAATAAAAGTTGGCATAAATGAGCAAGAACCATGGCCATACTGCCTATAAGCCAAAATGTGTACAGCCCAAGAATGTCTGAACTGAAGATTATAATGAATGACTTCAGGCTTTGCCCAGCCTTGGACTTTTATGGTCAAGAAATGTTGATCCCCAAAGCATCTCTGACCTTTCCAAATACCCATCTGAGTGGACTTAAACAAAAGAGCATTCCTGGCTCCTGCATTCTAGACTCTTTAGTAAATGAGCAGGAAGTAAGATTACATGTAGCAGGATACTGTTCTGAAAGACCATTTTATTTTTTTGCCTGGTATTTCCTTTGCTCTTTGGGTCTTTCCCACATTCGGGCAGCTAGGTCCTACTTGGCTTGTGAGTTTCAAAACCCGGCTCTGGCGAAGATTTTGGCCTGGACAAATAATGATGAAAACTCATGAGGCTTAATCATCCAGATAAGGAAAGAGATGGCCAGTTTGAGGACAGGGGAGAAAAATCAGAGGGAGAGGGAGACAATAGGGGGAGACAATAGGGAGTACTGAGCAAAGGGGCCCTGTGCCCCACTCCGTGGGCTGAGGCTGGGGATTGGAGATTAAAGCCAGAGAGGACCTGTGTCCCTGGGCTCAGGTGGAGCTGGGAGGAGGCAGGTCCCAGAGCAGAAGGGCAGTGGGGTGTGTCCAGCAGATAGGGACTCACATCCTAGCAGGACAGTGATTTCCATTCCACTCCCTTCACGAGGGAAGCAGAGGGCCCTGATGACATCACAAACTAGATGACTTCCCTTCCTCTCCCTGTGCCCTGGAGAACATGGGAGACAGAAGAGTGTCCTGATTTGACTTGAGATGAAGCTTTGGCCCCTGTGATAGAGTGAGTGAGATTTAAAATCAAAACTAAGTTATTGAGACAAATGGAAACCCCATTGTCCCGACAGCCAACGCAGGGCCCATTCTGTGCCCTTCGCAGCCTTCCTCTGGCTAGACCAACCTCCTCCCTGACACATGAACTTGACCAAACAACCCTGACCCAGAAGAGACCTGGGTTCTGACTGCCTCTGCTTTGCAGGTGGGTGAGTGGTGTACGAAGCACAGGGATCAGAGAGGGACAAGCCCCAAAGAGAAAGCATCCATTCTCCTTCCAGCTTCCCTCAGTCTGTTAACACCAACACCCTCGGTGCACTGCTCGCGCTCACACCCCTGCAGAGAACAGCAGATGAAGAGTGGGTGCTGTCTTCACTCACTTGCCTTCTCTCCCCACCCCCACCCCCACCTCTCCCATCCCAGGCAGACACCGATCTGGTTATGAAGTCTGTGGCGCCGATTCTGGGCCTGGGCGGACAGCGAGCGGCACAGGTGGTGGGACTTGGATTGCTAAATTGAGCTGCATAATCCAAGAGCTGGGAATTAGAGAGGAAAAGATCTGGGGAAAGGAGGGAACACTGCCGCAAGAGTGAAGCGGAGAGAATGTTCTTGTGCAGAGCTCGAGGAGGAAAAGTCCTTGGTGGGGTGCAGGGGCAAGAGAATTAAGAGGGCAGCGAAAAGAGGTTCAAGAAGTGTTACCAGGTATGAACTTAATCTCGATTTTTTTTTTTAGAGATACCAGGTAGAGGCTGAACCTTTTTATTATTCTTGGCTGTTTGGACTATGTTCCTTTGGAAGCCACCCACACAGTCTGGTTCATAAGGGTGGAGAGTTACCAGGGATACACCAGCTCTGATAGTGTGTCGGTGGAATGCTGTTGAATGAAGGCAAGATAATCTGTCCCCCTCATCTCTCCACCGCCCTGTCCATCCAGCTCTGTTCTCTCTTCTTTCCTCCATTCTCCTTGGAACCAGGGCAATAATGTGGATCTAGTGTCCCCTTCAGCCCCAGACCTTCAATCCAGTCTCTCGTCTGCTGTCACCACACACACACACACACACACACACACGATCCCCCGTCATCCTGACAACGAGGGCAGAGAGGGCTGCTGCTTGCATTTCTATGACACTGGGAGGAGCAGGTGGAGGAGATGGTGGGAAGAAGACCAGACAAAGGAGGAGCAGGCTGCCAGAGCCCCTTTTCCTCTCCAGGACCCTTAGGTACCCATGGAAGGCAGGACTCTGGAGCAAAGTAAGGCAAAGCCAATGATGCTGAGGAAAGCCCAGATGGAGTGGGCTCCCACCAAAACACCAGCCCTCCAGCCTACCTTCCGTGTGAATGTGCACTCACCCCTCAAATCCACGCAAGCAAGACGAAGGACGCTTCACCCTGAGAACACGTACTCACTGCAAATGTCAGCTGCGAGATGGGCAGCCGTGTCTCGGTGCAGGACAAGGCCCTCAGCTGTCCTGTGCCCAGGCAATGCAGCTCCCTAGCCCCTGTTTTAGAGCTAAGTAAGAGCCACCAGGGGTGTAAGCAGGGTGTCCTGGGGAGAAGGAATGAGCTCCCTGTGGCTGGAAGGGTACAAACAGAGCCTGGACAGTCACTTGATAGGCATTTGCATCTCATATCATGGAACCTCTGGGCCCCTGCCAGGTGCTGTTTCCTTTCTAATCTCAGTCTGTTGTATTCAAAGAAAAGATGGGCAATTCAATCTACAAGCCAGATCTGTAGCCTGATGGTCTTTAAGAGAATCTCATGACTCCTATCAAAGCCTATATATATATATATATATATATATACACACACACACACATATATCTCTGTGTGTGTGTGTATGTGTGTGTGTGTGTAGTAAACTAATCCTAGTTCTCAGATCTATCGGGCCTGTTTAATAAATACTCAGTATTTTGCTCAAGAATGCTTTGGTCCACTTTCTCCACGTGGCAAACTCCTACTCATACTTTAAAACCCTGATACCATGAAGCCTAGGAACTTAGCTTTCTCCTCTTTTGCTTTCATAGGCTTTCAAACTGTACCCTAGGGGTGCTCTGGTCCTTTTGGGGGAATGCTGCCCTCTAGCTAGGCTGGATGTCCTCAGCTTGCTACTGAGGCTCCCATCTCCCGCATCACGGCCTCTCCAGGATATCACTGGTATACTCATTGGGATGCTGATGTAGCACCAGGCGCAGGTCGCCTGCCTTGCTGTCCTTCCCTCCATGCCCTTTGTCTAACTTTCCCAGTCTGGGGAGTGCTTCAAACGCAGCCCTTCTCCCAGGCTCTTCTCTAAAGTAGCAAGTTCCCCAAAGAAGAGGCTGAATGTAGCCCAGTCTGATGCAAAGAGCACCAGAGGAGGAGTCAAGACACAGGTTCCAGCTCCAGCTTGGTCCCTGTGTGATTACCCCACTCTGGGACTCAAATTTTCTCATCTGTGCAAAGGGGCGATGAGGAAAGGCCCTCTGCTTCTGAGTTACCCTGTCTTGGCAACTGGTCTAATGAAAAGACCATGAATAACTTGGTTCCATTTCCTTGCACAAGGGAAATAACTTGAAGGTTCCCAGAACTGTTGGCTCAGCTGTTTATCCAAAGGCGCTGCCTCGAAGCTCTGAGATGGCACCGCTCTCCAGGTGAGAAGTAAACTCGTATACATCACAGACGATTGCCTTGTGCCAGCTGGGGCGGGACTGGTGGCATCTCACCTCATTTGGAAGCCTTCCAGAAATCCCCCCTAGCCAAGACACCTCCTCCAGCCAGCCAGGCCCCCGTGACCCCCGCTTCTGGCCTCGCCCTGCGCATCGTGCGCATGGCTCTCCTGTCCTCTGTGGCCCTTTGCCGACCTGACTCCCCTCCAGCCTCTGGCTGCCCTGTCCGCTCCCAGGGCCTCCATGTGGCCGGGTGCACAGTAAGCTCTCAGGGGGCAGTTTTTAATTTGACTCATGTTTTGACGACTCACATTCCAAATGTGTGGACCGTGACTTACGCTCAGGTACACTCGGATATTACGCTGAGCCAAAGACACATCCAAGCTCGCCTGTGTCCTCTAATAATATTAGTAGTAATATCTTACACACACTTATGGTGCTTCGCATTCTGTTTCTCTCTCTCTTTCTCTCTCTCTCTCTCTCTCTGTCACACACACACACACACACACTCTCTCTCTCTCTCTCTCTCTTTCCCTCTTAGGCAGACAGGGCAAACAATGACATCCTTATTTGACAGATGAGGCAGTGATTATCCAATGATAAGGCTCTTAGGGAGGGAGCAGAGACTGGAGCCAGGTGGGGCCCGCATGACTCCTGGTTCAGTGCTCTCTCTCCCTCTCACCTGTGCGAGTCCCACGAGGGCCGCCCTGGCTAAGGGGAGACCTGTATGCAGAGGGTGGAGGATGGCAGGGAGGCAGAGGGGCCTGGAAAGCGGGGTGAGGACCTGAGCAGGTGCTGCAGACCAGCGCATGTTGTTGGAAGCCACAAGTGATGCCCCATGGATGGGCATGCAGGGCGCAGCCCAGGAAGCCAAGAAGCCAAGCCCCAAGCACCAAGGGGCCCAGCAATGCTTGGGGAGCAGCAGACAGGTGGGGGCAGGACCCCTGTGGCCACCTTCAGAGGAAAAGGAGCATGGCCCTCCCTTGAGGACTCTGGGAGGGACCAGTGGTGCCTGAACCCTCAGAGAAAGCTGACCCCTGAGCATCCAGGCTACGATCTGGACAAGAGGAAGGGCCTTCCCAGCAGCAATGCCCACCTCCGTCCGTCTGTCCCACTGCCAAGGTGTTTCTACGGACTGTGGCTTTTCTGGTTTTAGCAAAAGGGGAAGTTTACCAGAGGAGTGGCTTCTGTGAAATCCATCAGGAGATCGCCCGGCTCCAAGGTGAAGGCACCTCCTCGGTCAGAGGGGCTCTACAAAGGCAGACAAAAAACATTCTGGTTAGTGACAGTTTGGGACTGACATCGAATTTCACCAGAAAGCGCAAAGGTTTCCCTCCTCTCTTCTCCCCACTGTCTAATACTGACCTTACGATCATGCCAACCTCCCATCCCATTCTCTCGCTCAGCAATGCACAAAATGTTAGGACCAACCCCCAATTTTTTCTGAAACCTTAATGAGTAGAAGCAGGGTGAACGATGGAAAATTGCCTTTTTTTAAAAAAAAGCTGCAAACAATGTTTCTGAAAGGCTCTGCGTGCTCTTTGACTGGTCTTTTTTGGGGAAAATACTTCAGAGAGTCCTTTGAGTAGAGAGAGCAAAGACCAGTCCTGGATCAAGCGGGCCAAGGCCTCGGGAGCTTCGGAGAAAACTTTTTTTCTCTTGTCCTGGGGTCTCAGCAGCATGGGGGACCTTGAGGCCTTTTTGGGGGGGGGGGAATAAGCCTCATCAACTTGGCACAAGCAGGACCCTCAGGACAGGGACTGCCAAGAGAGGGAGCTCTGTGACCTCCAGGAGGATGTCGCCTACATCCCCACTGAACTCCTCCTGTTTGGCAAATGTTTTCACTTGGTTTTGGCCGTTGTGTGGGATACACCAGAGGAGCCTGTGTCCACACTTGGGACAAAGCAGCACAAGGGGCCCCACACAGCAGAGGGGAAACCAACTCAAGACACCAGGAGGCGATCTACAGAAAAGCAGGAGCTGTGATCCGGGCGGTCACTGGCTGAGGGGTCCAGCCAAGCTCCCATTGAGGGATACAGACGTATCCCAGAGACCCTGGGAAGGGACCCAGTGAAAGATGGGTGTTGGTCACGCAGGATGTGGGCCTGGACCTTGGGGCCTAGACGTTACCAGGAGTTGGGATCCTGAAGCTCCAGGAGCCTCGGGGACCTAGTTTGCACTTGAACCTTCACTGGACCCGAAGCTAGTCCATGAGCTGGGCAGGGTGGCAGATATTGTTTCCATTCTCAGGAGGAGGAAACTGAGGCTTGGAGAAACAAGGGCTGCAGAGTGACAGCTCACTTCAAGCAGCCATAAGCCGGGGGTTCTGATCTTGCCTTCAGGCCCCCAGGCCACGCACACACCCTTCCTCAGTGGGGTCCACCGACCAAGCCCCCTGTATCTCAGCATCTACTTGGAGAGCAACAGGTTCGACTGTATTTGGACCAGAGGCTGACGGGTGACCACAGCTAAGGGTCACTCAAAGGAAACCAAGAGAAATGTCTTGTGTGAGGCCTTTGTCACAGCCCATTCATGTTGCTGGCAATTCCCTGAAATTTCAAACTATCAAATAGAATACTGTTTCCCACTGTGAAACCATTTACACAGGCTACCTGATATAAGGATCGGGATGGGGGTACTTCTACTTCTACATTTTACTTCCCCAAATTTTCCACTGTGGGAGGAAAACCTATTTCTTGCACTCGATCTTTCCAGCGAACAGTCTACATGGTGATGACATTCTGAATTCAAAATTGCCCAAAAAAATCTCTTTAACGTCCCTAAAGTTCATTGTGCACGGTTTTATAGTATACGACTTGTCTCTCATCAAGGGTTAGCCTATCTTTCGGGGACAGTTATATAAAAACCATGCTTTGGTGGTTATACTGTTTTACAAGAGCAATTCTTTTACAAGCATTGAGGGTGGAAAACTGAAACGCACGTGGATGCCACACATTTCATTTCTACTGGGTCCCCAGCAAGTGCAGCTACTCCTGGGGGCTTTTTCCCATACCTTGGCCCCTGGGGACAGCTGGCTGTTGCCTTCTGAATTCTGAGGCGAGCTGACTTTGTGGACCTTGGGGGACGCCAGTGGTGCCGAGACCTGCGTGGCGGTGGCCGTGGTGGCGGCGGTGGCGGTGGCTGTGGTGGCGGTCACGCCGACTGCCTCGGCCAGCTCCGGAGGGAGGTCGTCTTCATCACTGCGGTTGCTAAAAGCACATGAAGCTCTGCTCATTACAATAATTAACAGGCTGTGGGAGGAGAGGGAGGGCCGGGAGGAGCAGACAGCCAGGGTGGGGCGTGGGGGATCCCCCCAAACAGATGTCTACCAGAGATGCCGCTTACAGGACCCAATACATTGACATTTCTGCCAAAGCAAACTTGGACTGGAATTTCTGTCATTTGCCAAGGGATTAGAAGAATTTTTTTTTAATGGAAGGGTGTGCATAAGAATATCACTTTATCTATTTGTAAGTGTAGAATCCTGTGGCATAAATACACTCACAATGTTGTGTAATCACCACCACTATCTATGCTCAAAACTTTTTCATCACCCCCAACAGTAACTGCACCCAAAGAGCAACGGCTCCCCATTGCTCTCTGCCTGCAGCCCCTGCTAACATCTGTTCTGCGTTCTGTCTGGATGAACTTGACGACTCTAGGTACTCAGGTAAGCGAAACCGTACTCTATGTGTCCTTCTGTATGTGCCTTATTTTACTTACCATAATGTTTTCAAGGTCCACCCATGTTGTAGCACAGAACAAAATTCATTCTTTTTATGGCCAAATAATATCCCATTGTTAGGATAGACAGCATTTTGTTCATCCATTCATCTGTTGGTGGACTTGGGCTGTTTCCACCTTTTGGCGATTATGAATAGCGTTGCTACGAATACTGGTGTATAAATATTTGTTCCAGCCCCTGCTTTTAATTCTTTTGGATTGGAATTCCACCTAGAAGTGGAATTGCTGGGCCGCATGGTAGTCCTATGTGTAACTTTCTGATGAACCACCAAACCAAAGGATATCATGTTAAGTGGCCTCCCTTAGGACGGTCAATGCCAGGCTTGTCGGACCCACTGCTCCGGGTGAAAGATGTAAAAGCCCTTTCATGGTCTAAGAGCAACTGTCCTTTTTAGTGTGATAAACTGGCCACAGGAGAGGAGTTGGGCACGTTTGTTTTGGGGCCAAGTAGCTCTGGTCTTAGAGCCTCCCTGAAGGAAAGGGGTGATGCAGGCAGAAAAGGAAAATAGAGGGGAAGTGACCGTGAGGGCGGAGAAATCCAAGCTGCACCCTGGGCTCAGCTCCAGGGCTTGGATTCATGGGGAAGGCCTGGGCTGGAAGTCCTTCTGATCTGATCTTCCTGGCACGGGACCAGAGCAGTGCCACCAACCCCTCCCCCCCATTCTTAGTATGCACAGGATTTTCTCAGACTTACAGAAATTAATACAAATCCCCAAACCCCTAATGCTAACCGAATTGCTGCCTGAGCAGTAAATGGCTGACTCAGTAGGCCTGGGGTGCTCGGAACAAACCCTGCACATTCCAAATGAACCACTGATCACTGCTAAGCTCCTGGGAGAACCTCTGGGCCCTTAGCATCTCCTGCCTGGTAAGTCCCTTTGTGCACCCGAGACCTTAAGCCACTGCAGACAGTTCACGCCATCGGTGTGATTCACGGTGAACGCCTGTTTCTGTATGAACACCTGGGGGTTGGGGTCACGCTGTATCGGTTTGATCTCTGGGGGGGCTGGAGACTGAGTAGCTAAGGTCAGTCACATGAGTGCTCCATGCCTACATGCCTGACGCCCAGTACAAACTCTGGATGCCAAGCCGCAAGCAAGCTTCTCCGGTTGGCAGTGCTTCACGTAAGTTGCCTCAGGTTGTCGCTGGGGGAAGGAAGCGCTGCTCATGTGGCTCCTCCAGGAGCGGACAGCTGGCAGCTTGTGCCCCGTCTCCCGGGCTCCACTCTGTGCGCCTTTTTCCTTTGCTGTTTTAATCTGCATCCTCTCACTTGAAAAGATCCTAACTGTGAGGAGAACAGCTTTTCTGAATTCTGTGAGTCCACCAGCGAATCATGAAGTGTGAGAGGAGTCTTGGGGACCCTGACGCACGTCCCCTAAAGCTTTCCGCTCCTGGAGCCACCCAGGCACAGGGTTGTGTTTTAGAAACGAGGTTGAGCCAAAGAGGGTGGATACAGGACCATGAGCAGTGGGCCCCAGTGTGGCCTTTGCAGGGACCCGCTTAATGGCCTCACCACAGCAGTGGGCCTCCTGGGAAACGTGGCCGTGGGACACAGCTGCAGTGGGGGTGGGACAGACTGAGGAGGGCCCTGGGGGACCTGAGAGCATTCTGTGAATGGAGAAGCCTCAGGACAAGGGTTTAGGACTTTTTAGGAAAAAGGAGGGCAGGTAGGGTTTGACCAGTTAAGTGGAAAAATTAATAAGACACCATGAATTTGGATTCTGGCCAATGAACTAAGTCAGATCAGTTACATTATTAACCCATTTAATTTTCACAACAACCTGTATTATGATTGAAATTACTTGCCCAAGGTCACACAGCTACTTAAGTGGAAGAGTGGGATTAAAATTTCTTCTTATAATTAAAAAAATTGTAACCTAAAAAGCATAATTATTTAGTTTTCCATAAAAAGACATTTAAAAAAAACATAGCTCATCTTTCAGAGCAGGAAGTCAATGGATACTGTTTACAATGGGAAAAGACTCCAAATTCTTAATTTAAAAAAATAACCTTTTATCTTAACCTAGATCTTATGGCAAAGAAACATGTATCTAAAGTTCATCAAGTCCTTCGAGGTAAATTCATGTTAAATTCATGAAACAAGGCTTTAATGTAAAATTTTATGTGTAGCACTATTATTTGCTTCGAAATGACTTCTTTCTACAGGGTGTCCCCTCCCCAAAAATGTATACACGCTTTAACAACTGATAGTTCAATTTTGAAAATGAAATGTACTTTAATAAACACTGCTTTTATAATTATTCAAGGTGTGTGTATGTTTTTGGGGGACACTCTATATTTTAACAATATGTACGCATAGAGAATTGTCTACAGTAAGTCATCAAATGGGGACATTGCTTATTTTCGATAGTGTGATTCTAGGGAATTGGTTACTTCTCTCTTTGGACTTTCCCGTCTTGCTTGGATTTTTTTTAGACTTTTACACTATGTTTAAATAAACAGTAAAGTCATATTCCTGGAAAATATAAAGCAGCTTGTCACTTTCTAAACATACTAGGTTTACAAAGGGTTTTGTTAAAGGAGGCAATTTGGTGAGTTGGTTAAATTTTCTTTCCTTCCAGGCCATGTATCAGTCATTGTTTGCAACATGATTACATATCCCTGGTGGGTGATAGTAACATTTTGAATTTCAAAATGTAAAAGGAAAGGCTAATCCTGCCAGCTTTATCCCCGGGGGAGCAGATTTTTCAAGGTTTAATTTGTCCCCCAGAGACCATTAGGACTGTTAATTATCTGAATCTTACTCATTTGGGCTTTCTTGGGAAATACAGTTGCTCATACTATCCAGAAATTTCTATTAAGGTTAATAAGGTAGGATGTGTCTGCCCTTAAAAAACTCTCTCTCTTCTCCTTTTCACAGGCAGCAGGCCTGAGACAGCCGGTTGAGGGTTGGATCCGGGGTTACGCTGGAGGTCCTACACTTTGCACTCTGGGTACCCTTAAACTTGACCTCTTCTCAGAAGCTTTCAGTTCCTTGAGAAGAAAGAAAGGGAAACTAATTTATCCTATGGCCAAGTCACTGGCTAGGAGCTTTACGCACACTGGCTCATGTTCACAACCCTCAGAAAATTCCTCAGAGGTAGGTGTTATCTCACCCATTTTACAGATGAAGAAAGAGAAGTTCATAGACTAATTTCCCCAAGAGCTTCCAGCAGTAAACCAGCCAGGGTTCCACCAGGACCCTTTCTAACTCCAGCACCCCATGAGCTTCCCATTGCACCCAAAGACCCTCCTCCAGCTCACTGACCAATCAAACATCCAGGCCTGGTGCCATGGCCAAGGTCAAGAAATGAAAAACGCCATTGTGACCAGTACTGCTACTATTACGAATACACCCTCACTACAGCATGTACCTGTCTTCTTTGGATTACAGTTATTTGCAATCGGTCTTTTACTCTAGTAAATTGTGGGGTCTCAGACAGGACTTACCAAAGTCATTCTGTTCTTCCCCCATGGTACCTCGAACAACCCTGCTCACACGAGAGGTAACCAAGAAACTTTTGTTAAGCTGAACAGAACTGGGCAGCCCTTGGCGGTCTAGGGACACTTTGGGAGATAGCTCCTCCCACAGGTCTCATCAGCTTTGGCTCTATTGACAGACCGCTCTAACATCTCGGGGATATGCCACAAAGGTGGCTTCTGGTAAGACTCCAAATGATACCGGCTCCTGGTACTTGCGCCCCTGTAGAATTCCCTCCCTTGGAGGGTGGGCTGACCCTCCTGAGTTGCTTCTAATAAATAATGATGGGACGTCACTTCTGTGGTTAGGCAACAGAAGACTGTGACTTTTGCCTTGCTGGCTGGCACTCTCCTTGGCTCTTCCAGTGTGCTTTCTCTGATGGAGAATGCTAGAGCGGCCCACATCTCTCAGGAACGGAGGGCAACTCCAGCCAACAGCCGGCGAGCAACTGAGGCCCTCAGTCCACCCGCCTTCAAGGAGATGAATCCTGTCCCAGGCCACACGAGTGAGTCTTCAGGAGACGGCAGCCCTGGCCAACACCCTGAATGCAGCCTTGTGAGAGACCCTGAGCCACGAGACCCAGCTAAGCCCTGCCTGGCCTCCCAACCCACGGAAACCGGGAGATCATAAATGTGGATTGTTTTAATTAAACCACTACATTTTGTAGTCATTTGTTCACAGCATTTTATAATGAATGTAGGTGTCAACTATATAGTGTTTTCAGGGAGGAAGGTCTAGTCTTGCTATGACCTAAACTGGAAATAGATTGTATTTCTGAGACAGCTCTTTGGGAAAGGCTAAGAAGCATTTGTAACAACATTTATCATCATCTTTGTTGTTATCATTGAAAAACTTGCCATAAGAACTCACAAACTGTATTGTCTGGTTAACTTCCTCACTCGGGGGGGCTTGATCTCCGGCTTTTCCACTGCTGGCTGGGTCGGTTCCACACGTGTAGGAACAGGACTTCTGGAGACATAGCAAAAACAGAACCATGTGGTTGCCAGAGAAGAGGGGGCGGGGGGGGGGATGGGCAAAAAGGTGATGGGATTAGAGGTACAAACTTCCAGTCATAAAATAAGCCACGGGGCTGTATGTGCACCACAGGTAACAGAGTCAATAATAACTTCCCAATATCATAATAACTTTGTACAGTGATAGATGGTTACTAGACCAAGCGTGGTGACCACTTCATAAGGTATATAAATGTCAAATCACTATGCTGCACACCTGAAACTAATGCGGTCTTGCATGTCAACTATAATTTTTAAATAAATAAATACACTAAAGCAAAACAGAACAACTCCAACAAAAATGTTTATGGCCTTGCTTTGGCTATAGGGGGACCGCTTTCTGTTAATTTATATCTTAATAAAAACAATAGTCAAGATATTCATTTTTTTTCTCCTCTCCGCTCTACTTATTAAATGTATATATTTTTAAATGCCATAGAACATCCCCAAACAAAAACCAAATATATCATAAGAAAGAAAGAAAATGTAGCAAGCAGGAACTGAATATAATTGGGGTATCACATAAAATTTCCCTGCCAAAAACACCCATCCTCGATATCAGGGTTTGATTCATTACCAGGTTTTACTAGTGCAATGAGTACAGAGAAGCCTGTGGATAACTGATTTTTACTTCCAGGTAATCTTCTAGCTGTTATTTTAAACATACCCCGGAATATATATATTTAAAGATAAAGAACCGCAGGGTAGTTAATGTGAAAAATGCGTAATCAGAAGACCTTTAAGACTTGCTCTAAAACAATTTCATTCAGTGCATATGTAAAAATGGTAAAAATTAAATTCCCCTTTTACATTTGCTCAAGAAAATATGCCAGATAGCCAATGGGCCCTACCAAAAACAGTAATTTTAACAAAAAGCGTTCACTCATTTTTGTAGCGATCTTGAGTCTGGACTGCACCCTGAGAGCAAAGGGGAGTCTTTAAGGGGCTCTAAGCAGGGGAATGACCAAGTCAGACCCACACACTGGAGAAGTAACTCGAAGTGGCCTCTGCCGGCGCGGCAGGGAGCAATATTAACCCTGGGACTGAGCAGCATTTCTGAGGCCCGGAGGGAGCTGTGTCAGTCGGCCCTGTTCTCTGCCCCAGCTCTCGTCTCCTCTCTGATCTCATTAGCAATGTTTTCAGGAGCATGTTGATGACACAGAGAGTGCTGCTTCCCCACTCAAACGAGGGGCAACAGACCTTACGCTCGTGTCCTGAAGGCTCGATTTCTTATTTACAAACGCCGATTCCTCTTTTCCAGCCTGTGGAAGAAAACAGGCAGTGCATCAAAACCGAGTACCCGGGCAGGCGAAACTGCTCCCGCCTCCCGCACGCAGAGGGTTATAGAAACGGAAGGGGGGCAGGAGGGACTTCATCAAGCTCTCCGTCAATAACAAATCTTCTCAGGTGTTTATGTAAGTTAACGACAAAAAAAAGTGTTTTCCTGAGCCCTTCCCCATGACGGGACGAGCGCTTCATCATTCAAAGGCAATCGACGCTGGCCTTCCCAGGGTCACGGTCACCGAGGGNGGGGCAGGAGGGACTTCATCAAGCTCTCCGTCAATAACAAATCTTCTCGGGTGTTTATGTAAGTTAACGACAACAAAAAGTGTTTTCCTGAGCCCTTCCCCATGATGGGTCGAGCGCTTCATCATTCAAAGGCAATCGACACTGGCCTTCCCACGGTCAGGGCCACCGAGCCCTCCTGCTCCAGTGAGAAGGGGCGGGGCGGGCCACCCCAGCCCAGGGTTCGAGCCCCGCCTCACATTCTCCAGCAGGAATAGCAATCAACTCTGGGCTCTCACAGCACCTAACAGCTTATGAAGGATTTCGGAATCGGTCCTTTCCCATAAGGGTGGCAGCCTGGGGGGAACTGTGCCACATGATCGTGGTAGAGGCCTTGCCCTCCTCCCCCTGGCGAGTCCCACAAAGAACTGCGGGGGAGGCAAGACGGCCACTCAGCCCGCAGTGGGAGATGCAGCCACCCCGGGTGATGTGCGGAGCTGGCCCTCCGCTCAGCCCATGAGTGACCAGTAACCTCGCACCTGCGAGTAACTCTCCGTTTTAAAATCCCTCTTCGCATCCCGCTGCGCGGCCTGGCTCCCGGCGGGCCCTGCCCCAGCCAGCATCGGGGTCCTTCCCAGGGGGCCTCTTTCTCCTCTCTGGCCCCGAGGACATCCTGCCGCGTGAAATCAGAGGGGGGCCTGCACTCACCCGGGAGGCGTTCTCCAACTGAGCTTTCAAAATGTTACACTTCACATGATCGGCCACCGGGGAAGGCAGGAGTGGGGTCTGAAGAGTCTTCTCAGACACTTTTTTTTCCTCAACCTGTGATGAACCAAAATACAACAGATTGGATGCAAAGGAAAGGGAAAACATATTTAATAACCTTTCCTGTGAATCATAATTGCAAATGACATGGACTTAAACATATAGAGAACTGTATTGCCAAACCCTTATATTTGTATCAGTGCTTTTACTACTTGCAAAGGATTCACAAGCACCTCCTCTCATTCTTATGAAAAGTAGGGAGAGGAAGCATTAGGGAGCCCATGAGCCAGAAGATAGGGTGAGCCCTGGCCGGGTAGCTCAGTTGGTTAGAGCATCATCCCAAAACGCCAAGGTTGCAGGTTTGATCCCAGGTCATGGCACATACAAGAATCAATCAGTAAATGCATAAATAAGTGGCACAACAAATCGATCTCTCTCTCTCTCTCCCCCCCCACACACACCTTCCTCTTTCTAAAATCAATCAATAAAATTTTTTTTAAAAAGGAAGACGGGTGAAGGTTCAAAGATAAGAGGCTCTTTCAAGGTCCTGTAGCTATATCAGGAGGCAGATCCAGGACTCAAGCTTTGAGTTTCCTACACCCAAGTAATTTCTCTATAACTGCTACCTCTTACATATAAAAATTCAATTCTGTGACTTGTTGGGTCAAGGGAAAGAATACACAATATTCATTGCTAAGTTTACAAATAAATCTTGATGAAAGACATGACTCTCAGTGAGGAATCTGTATCTATGCTATCAATGTAGAGTGTCTCAGACTTCCACAACTTTCTATTTCTGCCATTTCCCATGTACTAACTGAACATGCACCTATAATTCACATGATCCAGTTAAGGTAGATTATCCTGGAGTTACCTATTTTAAGTATGTCCTAAGCAATAATATCTGAAATCATAGTCTTGGTGACTACTGTATTTATTATAATATACACTATGATAGTTACTTAACTATTAAAAATACTCATCTATGTCTATAACCTGAAATCATCTTGGATGGTATATATATCACACCAGGGAAATAATGTTTTATTGTTAACCAAGCCTACTGTGGTCATCGCATAGTCCACTGAACACATAGCACGTGCTCAATAACCACCTCCTGAAGAAGATTATAATGACATATAGTTATCAGTAGAAGACATGTATTTAATAAGAAAGACAGAAGGCCATATGATTGCTAAAAGTCAATTTAGTGGTATCAGGACTTAATGTGGCATGTTAGCCACAGCGGGCCAGGGTAAGAACAAAATGTTCTAAAGGCCTCAAATTCTGCAAGTTCCAAAACAAGTCTCATTCACAAATTCCAAAGCCCTACGGGGCGCGCTGGTCTACCTAGCAGGAGCATTATGGAAGCTCTGGAGGAATTATAGGGAAATTGGCTGGCTGACACCGTTTAATAAAGAAAAGAGGGTATAGAATACAGTGCCTCCGTGGGGCCTCCGCACGTACAGAGGAGCACTTCGCAGACTGAGCAGAACTCAGCAAGTTCATGGAACGGCAAGATAAGCAGACAGAAGACCAGGATTTGAATCTCAGCCCTTTCCCTTACTAGCATCATAAATGAAGAGGATGATGGTGATGAAGATGATGATGACAAAAAAGAAAATTAATGCCCACAGCTCATAATTACTGAGAGCTCATTTTGGGCAAGAAACTCCCAGGCATTTCCTTTGTACATCTTATCAACTCTTCCCATTTAATCATTCCATCTGGAGGTAGATACGATCACTATCCTCATTTTACAGATGAGAAGAACAAAGCACAGAGATGGTAAGTCACTTGTCCAAGGTCACACAGGAAGTTTGAAGAAAAGCAAAGATTCACACTCAGAACTGCATGACTCCAAAGCTGGAGCCCTGACCACTCAGCCGCACTGGCTCCCCTTAACCTCTCTGAGTCTCAGTTTCTTTCTTCATAAGATTATGATGACTACCAAATGAGAAAATACGAATGAATGGCATTTGCATGTTAGATTATTTGGTTAGGAAATAACATATAACTAAAAAACAACATCAGACGTGAGGACACTAATGATCTTAAGCCATCAAGTTGGGTTTAAAAGAAACTGACTCATTGGACGGGAATCATCATCCTAAGAGACTTAGCAGTTTCCAAAAAGCAAATAAGTAATTTTATGTATTTTGAAGGATGGGGTTTACAGTACACCTTTCGGATAATTTATCATGTGTTTTAAATCCTGTTAGATTCACTGTTTACTACCAGAATGGGCGTCTTCCCTGGTGTATGAAGAGTTAATTTTTAACTTTGGGGGAATGGTATGCTGGGATACAGGAATTAAATTGGTTCCAAAGCCTATTTGAGGTTTTGACAATTGCTTAAGGGGACATAGTTATACTCACAGTCATGACCGAAGACCTACTTTAAAAAAAAATTAACTGCTGCTAAAATAAGAAAAGAATGAGAATTTACCATTGTTTTTTTCCTCTTGAATTTAGTAATTCTAAACTGCTTTGTAGACATAAAATTCAAGCTGGCTTGTTCCTGTTTGATCTGGACAAAGCAAGATCTATTGTTCAGTTCTCTGATTTGACTCAGGTAGAGGCCAATATAAATTTTGGAAAAGTTGAGTAACATTATGTGAACATGTTTGCATAAAAGGCATCTTCAGGGGAGATAAGCGTCTGGATTACAATGAGACAACAATTCCCACCTGGAGGATGGCTCCGAGAGTGTTGTGCTTTCTTTTACATGATCATAGTTTGTATTTTACATTCAGTTTGAATTGTGGAAAGGCGCTTTCTTGTTCACTATGGAAATACAGATTTCAAAACATACACACAGATGACACTTGGACTTATCTTTGGAAATGGTCTGTTTGGGGATGTCCGTGGGGATAAAGAAATGATCAGATGCATTTTAAATAGTTGATACAAATTGTTTACACATTTGAAATCTGATGAGATTTAAATTCTTGTGATAATTTTGGCTACTACTTTGAAACTGGGCCATGAAAATGTCTTCTCACCATTAAATCAAGAATAGGTACTTTTCCAAACCTTAGAAAATTCAGTAGATTCTTGATCCTTGAGGCTGGAAAACCCTTAAGAGTCATTGAAGCCATTGGTCCCAATTGTGGTATCATATAAGTTGTAAGGTCTGTTGCAAGGAATGTTTTATTAATGAAAAAGAATCATAGTGCAAAGTAATATACTTTGCTTATGTGACAGGACAAACTTAAGGTTATCTGACATCACTAGCCTGCCTGCTTACTGATGCATTTCTTCAAGTGGAAGAGCAAAGAGGGGAATCAGATATAGTTTGAGCTCCAGGGAAATGTTGAATAACCCACAGCTGTCTCAGCTTTGCCTTAACCCAGAGCAGGCCACTCTTGTCCATTTCTCACCAGTACTCATGAAGACTACAAACTACATATAGCTTCTGAGTTCTCTGATATACTATTGCTATACTTCCTCGCAAAATATGTTTGGATTCTGTCACACTCTGGGGAAACCCCCGTTAAAACACTTATTGTATATATTGAATTAGAAAAGTTGAAAACCAAGAGACAGAGAAAGGTAAGTCCAGGGGGCACATGATGCGTTGGATTGACTCCGTGGCACCTGTTACAGGCCTGCTCAATACAGAGTTGCTGCTTGAATGAGTAAGTGCCAGCCTGCAGGAGGGATTCCTTCCAGCTGATGAGATTTAAATCAGGGAGGGTAGTATAAAAGTAAAGTGGGTGAGGGGGGCCTTGAGGTTGGGGTCCCATTAAGGATGAAAAGGACTTTAGGCTGCCCTAAGGGCGAGAGGAGGAGTGCCAGGGAGTGAGGGGCTTCTGAGAAGCTCTGGAAGTCTACTGTAGACTAGAGGGCTGGCTAGGCTGGCCAGGTAGGAGATATAACCTTCCCATGGCCACCAGCAAAGGTAAGGAGAGGGAGCTTCCCAGGCCAGGTCTTCCAAATTTTTCCTATTCCCTCTTATGAAAGAGCAGAGCTAAGCATTAGAGTGGAAGAAATGATCCAGAAGTGACAAAGACTATTCCTTTGGGGACTTTAAAAATTAAAATATGCTTACAACAGCAGCTCTCAACCAGGGACAATTTTGCCTTTCAGGGGACATCTGGCAATGTCTGAAGACAATTTAGTTTTAATGCCTGGATGGGTATGGTACTGGCATCTGGTGGATCAAGGCCAGGGATGCTGCAAACATCATACAACACACAGGAC